TTTTTTGAGAAAACTGCCAACATTTCCCCATCCATGGTTCACTTTCTACAGTAAACTTTCCAACTACCAAACGCAAAATGCTCACTTCTTTGTCTGCAAGATTCCCAAACACGCCCAAACGCATTCACCCCATGATTCAATGAATTCAGTGTTTCGTTTGGCTCTACCCGATTTTACGAATGACACTCTGGCAACACAGCAAGCTAAAACGCTGAAAATCAGATATTTTGTAAACACTTTTTTAGGGTATTTTTCTTCGCGATAAGCCCAAATCAGGTCCCAAACGCGATTTTGAAGCATTGAGCTATACAACAATGCAAACGATATACTCATATAACTTTCCACTTTTGAACTATTGCTATCAGCTGTTGCGCACGAAAATCGAGTTTTCGACCGATTAATATCCTACCTTGTATTCATTGTGTCATGCGTTTTGCAGGCAGCAATTAAAGGTTAGGTTGTCCCAAGCAGTACAGTTCACTTGAAAAATTAGTAAGAGTAGTAGGTAGCGAGCACCCTGTATAATTGAAATTAAATGAAACCTTTCTAACTAACCGATCTCATCTGGGACGTATTTAAATAGGCGGCGAACTGACAGCTGCCAATCTTCCACTCGACAATAAGCAATAACCATTCGGAAATTCGATCCCACCCGGTATTATTTCAACATCAGGACATCGTGTGTCTTAAAGCAGCGATTATATTTTCAGCTGCGATTTGGATAATCGATTCGTCAGTAAACTGGTGCAATTTCGCGCCCCACAAACAAACGTACGAGGAGAAATTCGGGAAATGAGCAGCATCGATCAAATCGATGAGCGGAAACTCACAAGATCCGGCAGGCCTGCGAGTTAGAAATGCTCGACGGAAAACACAAAAACTGCCGATTGTTTTTCTCGCATCCCTGTCCTTGTGGGCGACATCTATAAATACCAGCAAATTAGCATCGGCGACCGTTTTCGATGAAGACAAATGAATTGGCTCTGAATTAAGAAATAGTTCTGGACACCAACAGTTGTTGTTTTCTGGCTGATAAATTGCAGCCACAGGGGCGGCTCCTCTTTGGTCTCTTCCAACATGTTGAGAAATATGTGCTTTATGGCAACAGTTTTCATGTTCATTTTTCCAGTGATGGTCCTTTGTTTCTACTAATAAAACTTCTTAAATCGCGTAAAATCTCGGAGTTTTTTGCTGTTTAGTATATTGCAGTGGCGAATCCAGGATTTTGATCTGGGGGTGGCTGGGGTCATCAAAAAGTTACATTGTTGCATCCGCGCACAGTATGGGGCACAAAAGGGTATTTGGTAATTTGGTATTAAGAAATTCT